TCTTAATTATTATGTATAGGTTAGATAGATAACACCCTCAAATTTTAATTATTCAAGTTGATTTCTATCTACTATACTCCACTTTCTTTCTCTCCTTGTATATTTTAAATCTTTATTTTTCATTTTGAATATATGGATCATGGATGTTTATGTCTTGCCAATGCATAAGATGACACAATTACTCCGTTATTAGGCTATTAACTCTTAAAACTATAAAATGTCAACTATACTGCTACAGCCTGCAGGTCAATTGTTTAAATGTAAATTCAATGCACAATGTACTTTATACTATTTTATATGCAAGTGAAATGACCTTTTAATTAATCATCAGTTCAGATCTTGAATTATTAATTTATTAAGTACGTAGCTTGATTACAATTCATTTGTGTTAGTAAGCTAAGATAAATTATCTTGTGCAGCTGTACACAGATCATATAATATTCATTTTCTGCTATTCATTTAGATTGTTCTATGCTTCTATGTCAGTCTTATGTTATTTAAATTAAGTGATGGTCATGTCGCATGTCATTCTTAGTACATGCATCCAACCAGTGTCCCATATGTGAGAGTCAAATTTGTATTTTTTTGCAGATCTGAATTTTGTTAGACACTGGTGCACTTGTTATGTTATTTTTCTGCATGTTTATAAAATAATAATATAACAATTTAGTGAATAGATAAACCCCTCTCCTATTTTCCATTGTCTTCTTTGCTTCCGTGTGTCCTTTCTAGTGCTTTGCTATGTCTCAATTGTTTGGTGATGAAATTGAACCTCAGCATTCTGAACTGGCAGAGCATGGTAAAAGCTCAAGATTGTCATTCCGGAGTCACACGTCCAGTTTCAGAGGAAATACATCTTTGGACTCTTCAAAAGATGTCCATGATGAGGAGTTTGTTCAGGAATGGGCTAAAATTGAGAGGTTACCAACCTATCAAAGATCAAGGATGTTATTGTTTGATGAATATGATGATGGAAGCACAATTAATGCCAAGGGAAAACGGATGATTGATGTCTCTATGCTTGGACCTCTAGACCGTTATCAATTCATTGAGAAGCTCATCAATCAGATTGAACAAGATAACCTTCGGTTGTTGCAGAAACTTAGGAAAAGAATGGAAAAGTAAGTTTTATCACTATTATGCATGATATGAGTAAAATATGTGTACTTTCTCATAGCTATATATTTGCCCATTTAAAATCTAGTACTTCTATTGTATTGGTATTTTTTTTTTCAATGGGAGGGGGGAATATGGTGATGTTAGGATTGTTAGATTAGCCAAAAAAGCCAAAGAGACTTTGGCCACATATCCAGAATATTTAGATTTTGTGACTGCTTGTCTCACTAGATTCCCCTTTACTTACCTCTATGAGTACAACTTGTGTGCTTCTCTTTTGGATCCTGGAGGATGGAGGGTGGGTGGGAAGTTATTCCATTATGGATTTTTGGATGCCCTAAGAATGTTTGCAAGATTTCATTTAATATATTACATTCTCACATCTACGTTTACATTTACTTTTAAATTTCCACTTGTTCTGTGATGTAAATAATGCTAACTAGAGCATATCCTAATCTGAATGGGATTCAGATTAGTGTAAATATTTAAGCAAAAATGGAGTATTACCGAATCAATGGCTGAATTGTTTTCTAGATATTTTAGTAATATTATCTTTGACAATGTAATCTATATACTTGGTTTGATAAAATGGCTAAAATAAAATCGGTTAGGGTAATATTGGAAAATTAAAATAATAACTTCAATAAGATTTAATTAATTAAATCTAATTACTGGGATAAATTAGAAATTTATAGATAGTATGTGGTCTGGGCATATACTAATTTAGCAAGAGTGGGTTTCTTTGTGCCAGTTAGATTCATCTCCTTTTTTTTTTTTTTTTTTTTTTTTTTTTTTTTTTTTTTTTTGCGTGTTGGTAATATATTATGATAAATATGGAACTCTGGCTAGCTGCAGGTGATATTTTTGGTGGAACCATGTAATTGTGATTACCATTGATAAAGAAGATAAAGCCATTTCAGATTAACAAAAATGTTTTTTGTGGAGGAGTTCTGTTGTGGCATAAAGCTGATTTTTCCTTTTAACGACCTATAAAAGTAGTGTGCGAGTGCTTCATGATCTTTCTGTCTACTTGAAGTTTGTATACTTGCAAAGGTGTAATGACCCCTATGGCCCTATGTACCCATTTGTCACAGAATATAGGATTCACTGTATTTTATAGTTGTAGAATTTACATCTCAAAAGCACAGAGTTTAATAGTCAGCGAAGTCATATTGCTTGCCTACTGTTTAAATTATTTAAATTAGTTACCTGCATGTATTACACTGATTATGATACACCCAAAACTAAGTGGATGTATCAGATTGCAGCCACTAGAATTGATTGAATGCAATACTTTATCACTTTTTGAAATATGGTCTTCTCTAAACTTTTGCAATTCTTCTCCTGTGTAGAGTTGGGTTACAATTTCCTGCTGTCAAGGTGAAGTATAAAAACCTTTTTGTGGACGCAAGGTGTAAGCTTGTGGATGGCAAGCCCCTTCCTACTCTGTGGAACACTTTTAAAAGCAGTCTTTCTGTAAGTACATGAAGAATTTGGAAAAATTCATATGTAACAGTAGCTCTTAGTTGTAGCTCGCATTATGTATTTATGTAGATCAGTCATTGTTTGGTGTCTGGAGACTCTGGACTATGACTTCATTTACTAATATTTAACGAATGCATGAAGCTGAATAGATGCTAATATTATTAGAAAATAGACATTGTTATTTTCTAAGCTAAAAAAAATGTCGAATTTACCAAAAGGAAGACTTTAGTCAGTGTCTCTGAGTTATACTGTCCTGTTGTACAGGTCTTTTCGAAGTTAGCAGGGTCTCGACTGCAAGAAGCAAAGCTTAGCATTATTAAGGATGTCAGTGGTATAATCAAACCTGGGAGGTCAGCAAATAATTTGTCTACATTATGAGTGTTTAACTTTGTGCTAAAAAGATTCAGACAGAACAACTATTTCATGTGTAGAAGCTTGTATGTGGTCTTCCCTCATTTGGTGCTAAGAATAGTATGAAAGAAAGAATTACTTTTATGTGAATAAAGTTGTGTGGCTCTTCCCTTATCTGGGTTGAATATTATTTTGGTCAAGTGGTGATCAATGTCACGCCGCTGCTACATAATATGATCTTCAATATATATCATTTGTCAGGGTGCTTTCACTATTATGCTCTCTCCTTGATAAAGTTTTGTGCTGCTCAATTCGTATCAAAGGCCAGTATGTCTTACTGGTTCAAAGATGATCACATGAAGATAAATTGGTACACTATTCATTTTCGGTCTTGTGGGTGGAGTTTCCAACCATTATCACAAATTCACAATTCACATTAATGTAACATTCTAATTCTGCTGGAAACATGACACTACCTGGCTATGGGGATTGGGGATTGTAGGTGTTTTCTAATATTCTCAGACTGAAGTGTTTGAGACAACATTACACTACCATACTCCTTTACTGCTAGTCTTCTTCTAATCCAAGCTGGTAGAATACTGATGTTGTCTGTCATAATTTATGGGTTTGCGATTCCCTTTTCTTCTTTAGATGTGCTTAAAATGACGTATCACTAATCCTATGTGGCCAAGTTATATGGAAGCAAATTAAAGAGACATGAAAGGGGAGTGGGGAAGACACAAAGTGTAAATTCCTTAATTCAAGCTTTTGCCTCTTATATGGGGTCTGCTACTCTGCTGTATAGCCCCATAAAGAACTTGATGCTTAGGCTTCAATTTTAATGTTACTTGTAACTTTCAGATTTGTGAATTTTTAGCTTTCAAGAATTCCTAGTTTTAAAATAGCTTCAGTTCTCTATAAGGAGTAGCACAGTAATACATCTATGATTATGCAGATTGAAGGTTGGAGAGCTTTAACTAATTGACAGTGTTGAAAGCTATGATATCTATCTCTATGTTCAGAGTGACTATAAGGTTACTAGCTTTGAGATTCTGTGGGATTAAAATGCTGTCAATTCTCAGCTCTCCTAATAATTACATAACATCTATAAGTCTGTGCATCTTATTATCATATGTACCCTAATCTGTTTGAGTAATTCTATTTTTTCTTGGGGGATTAAGGTGGGTGGGTTGGAAGGGTTGCTAGCGTACAATAGGTGAACACTAAAATAGTTATATTAGAATTATTAATATCAACTCACAGATCTCTAGAGTATCAAGATGTATTACGTTTATCTTTCCAAAAGTTTTCATGTAGTTGCTGGTGTTTTTGCAGGATGACTCTACTACTTGGTCCACCTGGTTGTGGGAAGAGCTCCCTTTTGTTGGCACTTTCAGGAAACCTCGACAGCTCTTTGGAGGTTATATATAATTAAATATTATGACCTTTCCTTTTCTCTTATACACTTGCATGATATTGTCTAGTGCAGTTAAAACATGCTTTTTACTTCTGTATTTCCTTATTTCTTGCATTTTGGTTCTGGAAATGGGAGGATTTTACTCGAGGTTTTACTGGACTTAAATCTGTTAAACCTCATTGTGATCAAATGCATGATTCTATTTTGAAAGAAAGATCTTAAATCTTAATAGGGAGAGACCATGAATGGGGCTAGTAGGAGTTTTCATTTTAATAGAACCACTGTTTTGCAACTCTTACACATATTGTTTCTTTTTCTTTTTTTGCAGCTTAAAGGAGATATAGAATACAATGGGCACAAATTTGAAGATTTTATTCCTCAAAAAACTTCTGCTTATATAAGTCAGCATGACCTGCACATTCCTGACATGACCGTGAGAGAGACAATTGATTTTTCAGCTCGTTGTCAAGGTGTGGGTAGCCGTGCAGGTATGTTTTATTCTGTTCCTTATTAATGTTTTTTTTTTTTTTTTGAATGACCATTCATTAAGTCCAAGTAATAATGGAAGTATTTTGCCTCTTTAGACTTGTTAATTGAGGTCTGTAAACGGGAGAAACAGGAAGGAATCATTCCAGATGCTGACATAGATGCGTACATGAAGGTATTTCAGCTATGACTTTGTCTTTGCAGTTTTATGTATGCTGTATTGCTAATCTGATCCCTTGCTTCCTTCAATTAGGTATGATCTATATCTAATAAATGATACCTTTTCTATTGTACTAGTTGTATCTAAGTTGGAATTTGACAACTCACTATGTTTTCGACTTAGGCAAAATAGCATTGCAATTGCATCATATTATAAGTTGAAAGGTTTGTCTGTGGTTAAAGATTAGTAGGTTATTATCCTGTTAAAGCTCCCTGTGATATGTGAGCTATGAAAATTACCTCAGTTTGGCATCTTGCTTTGCTATATAAATTTAAACACTTCATCCTTTTTTTTTTTTTTTTTTATTATTTATTTATTTTTTGATGCATCACTTTATATGTATGGAAGTTTCAATTTAGATGTTTCACTTTCCTTTTTAGTTAATAAATTCTCTCTATCTCTTTCATATCACATAATTTCTCTCTCTCTTCTCCAAAAATTGCCTAGGGGTCTGTGATTTTAAAAGTAATGCATCAAAAAAAGAAGAAAGAATATCAATTTAATATAAATCAATGCCAGCAAAGGAAATGCTCTTGATTCTAGTCCTTCATTTGATTATTTATTAAAATTTGATTTTGGTTGCACAGACTTTAGTGGTGATATAACCCTGTCATTATGGTCATTGAAGACAAGATAACTCCCACAACCTCAACAAGTTAATGAGTTCTTCATCCCTTGATCCTGAGTGTATATTCTAAATAGGAACTCCTCAAGAGATTGCTGTATCTTCTTATTCCTGGAATCTCTCCTCCTTCACGATATGAGAGTATATGAGGCATTTGCTTATTTTTTTCTATATTTCTTTCAATTACCTAATAATGGAACCGACAGTGCTCTTCACCCCTTCCTGCTAAATCTCTAAACTAAGTGTTTAAACTTTACATAAATGATTAAAGTAAAGCATACATGAGATGCAGTTTGAAAAAAGAAGCATAAATTTTTTTGGTAATTTTAATCTCTGATTTTACTATCATAATGCTTTTAATAATTTTTATTTTCTGAAGTACCATACTGTTTAGTACACGTGTGTATTGAATCTATGTTTACACAGGCAATAGCTGTCGAAGGATTAAAGAGTTCCCTGCAGACAGACTATATACTAAAAGTAAGTTTTTTTGGAAAACCTGCTTCATATTTGATTTATTTAGCTTGCTGCCAATCATGCACTCGCTACTTGCCATCTGTTCTCTGGCAGATTCTTGGACTTGATATATGTGCTGACACTATGGTAGGAGATGTTATGAGGAGAGGTATCTCAGGTGGTCAAAAGAAAAGATTGACTACAGGTGCTTCATTGAATTATGCATAAAACAACTATTCTGTAACTTAAATTAGAACATACCCCATCAGTCTGAAGATTTGTTGTTATAATGGAATTTTATAGGTGAGATGATTGTTGGGCCAACCAAGGCATTGTTTATGGATGAGATAACGAATGGTTTGGACAGTTCTACTGCATTTCAGATTGTCTCGTGTATTCAACAGTTGGTTCACATAACAGATGCATCTGCATTGATTGCCCTTCTTCAGCCAGCACCAGAAACCTTTGATCTTTTCAATGATGTCATTTTAATGGCAGAAGGAAAGATTGTGTATCATGGACCTCGTGATTGTGTCCTGGAATTTTTTGAGACCTGTGGTTTTAGGTGTCCCAAGAGAAAGGGAATAGCTGACTTTCTTCAGGAGGTAACAATTTTCAAGTCTGGTATATGGTGATGTAGACTTATTATTATGAAGTGACTGCAGAGGTGCAATTTCCTCCACTTTATACCCTTCTTTCTACAGGTTATTTCACAAAAAGACCAACCACAGTACTGGTTTCGTGAAGAACCTTATGGTTATATCTCTGTAGATATGTTTTGTGAGAAATATAGGGTATCTCATGTTGGAAGGACTTTATATGAGGAGATTTTGCAGCCACCAGTGAAGACACAGGTTGACGATTACGCTATCTCCTTTAACAAGTTTTCTCTGCCAAAGGGAGAACTCTTCAAAGCTTGTATGTCAAGGGAATTCCTGCTTATGAGGAGAAACTCTTTCATATATATATTCAAAATTATTCAGGTAGTGTACAGTGTGCTTGCTCCTTTTCTTTGTTCTCTGGAATTTTTGTTTTGACCGATAATTTCAATTGTTGCTTGCTATTCATGCATTTGTCGTGGCACGCTTGTATATGTTTGTTGTGTGTATACATGTGCATGCGTGTATTGTTTAAAACATATATATAACCTTTTCTGACTTAGTTATATAAGTAGCAGCTATAAAACTATGAGGTTATTGATTCAAACTTCAAATATCTCCTTTACTCCTTCCCTTAAATGTCAGATTCAATGTTCATTTTATGTAGTGTATATATATAAGAGCTAAATGTAACTGCAGCCTAATTAAATTTTTTCCCCCTGATATTTTTCCTCTTGCAGTTGGTCATTATAGCTCTGATAACAATGACTGTATTTGTACGTACACGGATGCATGTTGACATTCTTCATGCAAATTATTATCTGGGTGCTCTGTTCTATGGTCTTATCATGCTTCTTGTTGATGGATTTCCAGAACTGTCAATGACTATCATGAGACTTCCTGTTTTCTTTAAACAGAGAGACTTATATTTCTACCCTGCTTGGGCTTATGCAATTCCTGCCACTATCCTGAAGATCCCTTTGTCCATTTTGCTAGCTGTTATCTGGACCTCACTTACTTACTATACCATTGGATATGCTCCAGAAGTTGGAAGGTAAGTTTTGAGGAGTTTTGTGCTGTGTACCAAAATTAGTCAGTATATACCTCAAGTAAGGATGCTTCATCACAATGACACCATATATACATGAATTCATCTACCCTAATCCATTGAGGTGAAGTAAGTTTGTCTGGTATAGTTCCTGGTGAATTGGTGATCTAATTTGAATTTTAAAATTGACTTTCAAACTAAAGTTTTTTATGTAGCTCAGCTTACCTTGTGCAAAATTGCAAACAGCTTTGTCTATGAGTCTTGATTGGTTAGGAGAGAGGTTGCTTACATCTATACCTTCTTAAACACTTTTAATGCTGGGCTCTTCCTTGATTTTTACTGTCATTGTTTGGTTGCTGTGTCTGAATCTAACACTCATCGATCTTAGTACTTTTAAAAAAAACTGTGGTCAACTGGTTATTGGTGTAAATTTTGAGAATTTTCTGTGTATGTCAGGTTCTTTTGCCAAGCTCTTCTATTCTCGGGTGTGCACTTGGCATCAATATCCATGTTCAGGCTCTTGGCTTCTCTGTTTCGTACCACAGTTGCTTCCACTTTTGCGTCCGTTATCTTCATACTGTTTGTTTTCATATTTAGTGGATTCATAATCCCACGATGTAAGAGTACTTGTGAAGTTTTACCTAGTAGAATTTCAGATCATCTGAGTATATTATTTACCTGTGTGTTAACTTGCAGCTTCGATGCCAGTATGGTTAAGATGGGGATTTTGGGTTGTCCCACTTACTTATGGAGAGATTGGTCTCGCAACTAATGAATTCCTTGCTCCAAGGTGGCAAAAGGTAAGCTGTTAAAGGCATGAAAATTATGATTGATTTGACCTGCTAGATTAAACAATAGGATTCATCTCAAGGATATATCAAGAACCTGCTACAAGATTATCTTGGACATTCTTGTTGTGTATCTATGTGTTGGGACTGATTATTGACAACTACAACAGCTAGTTGGCTATCGGCTCATGCCTTCTTGGATAATGATATTCTAGCTAGGAGTGTCATATTGTCATCCTCTCTAAGTTGAACGAGATCATTTGATGGGCATCTGCTTTCAATGCCTAAAGCTTTAGGCTATGGGCCTCTGACACTTCAAAGTGTTGCTGGTGTACAATACTTGGTGTATGCTGTCCTCCGCTGTTGCTGATTCTTATTCTTATCTGTAGATGCTTGCTTCAAATACAACGATAGGTCATGAAGTTCTTCAATCCCGTGGACTACTGTTTGATGGTTACTTTGTCTGGGTTTCGGTTGGCGCTTTGTTTGGGTTTTGCGTACTTTCCACTCTGGGGTTTACTCTAGCATTAACTTTCTTAAAGGGTGAGACTGTCTTTTGTCTTTTCCCTGAAAAAAAGTCATAGTAGCATTACTGATTTACAGTTTTCTTGATTATATTTGTAGCTCCGAGAGCATCTACAGCTTTCATCTCTAGAGAAAAACTTTCTCAATTACAAGGATCAGGAGATCCATATCAAGTAGAGAACGAGCTAAAGATCTGTGGGAAGAAAAGCTGTGTAGAAGCTAATAAAGGTTAAAAACATTCATCTGAATTTCCAGTTAATTAGCATTACTCGTGTGGACATTTTTCCCCGTAACATTTATTTCTATCCTCGCAATTCTAAAACGTCTGGTAATCATGGCAGGTTATATGATCTTGCCATTCCAACCCTTTACTGTAACATTTCAGAATGTGCAATATTACATTGATACCCCAATGGTAATGTCAAAACTAAATTTTTTTAAGCTTGAGGTCCCCTTCTGCAATAAGTGGTTCATAGGACCCAAGGAAGTGAATGTGTTATACGGAGTAATAAATTTTCTTCTCTTAGGAAATGAGAGAACAAGGCTTTACTGAGAAGAAACTCCAACTTCTGCATGACATCACTGGTTCTTTTAAGCCAGGTGTCCTTACCGCGTTGATGGGTGTCAGTGGAGCTGGAAAGACGACTCTTCTTGATGTTCTTGCTGGAAGGAAAACAAGTGGAACCATCGAAGGGGAAATTCGTATTGGAGGGTATCCTAAGGTTCAGGAAACATTTGCACGAGTATCAGGCTATTGTGAACAAACAGATATACATTCTCCAAATATTACCGTTGAGGAATCACTGATCTTTTCTGCCTGGCTTCGGCTTCCTGATAATGTTGATTCAAAAACCAAAACAGTATGACCTTAATTCACCTGGAAAGAGTTGCATTGCAAGTCTTGTTCCTTCTTATTTTGAAGGTTACCTTACAATATTCTTAATTTCATTTCAGGAATTCGTTAACGAAGTCCTACAAACTATTGAGCTCAATGAAGTTAAAGATGCCTTAGTTGGCTTACCTGGTATTAATGGTCTATCAACTGAGCAACGAAAGCGGCTTACTATTGCTGTGGAGCTTGTGGCCAACCCATCAATTATATTTATGGATGAGCCTACAACAGGTCTGGATGCAAGAGCAGCTGCCATTGTAATTAGAGCAGTACAGAACGTTGTTGCTACTGGCAGAACTGTTGTTTGCACCATCCATCAACCAAGTATTGACATATTTGAAGCATTTGATGAGGTAGGATACATAGGATACTTGTCTCATTGATAAAAATGCTACTGATTATATCCTTTGAAGCATTTGCTTGCACCCTGATATATTACCACTAACTTAACTTTATTGCAATTCATCTACTAATAAACTTCACCATTTAAGAGTGAATGGAGTTATACAAGATACAATAAATATCTTGTTGTTACAGTAATTCCTCTTTGTCTAATGTAAAGACCTATCTACTGATGGATTGATGATGTCTTTACAATTTTACATGATGTAATGCATCATTGATTAATTATTATCCTGAAGTAACTGAGACATTTGTTTCTCACTTCATGCTCTACTTCTACTGTTTAATATGGAATTGTTAGGCGGGAGGTTGAATTTTAATGGTGTATATGTATTGTTTTACATTTTACTGCAGTTGATGCTTTTAAAAACCGGTGGGCGCATAATCTATTCTGGACCCCTGGGTCAGCAATCAAGGAAAGTTATTGAATATTTTCAGGTTGTTCTTTCTAAAATATCCTAATTTTGTGCTAGATCTTTTGTTTCGTAGTTAAATTGGATTTTCACTGCCTCATAGATTTTTCCCAAGTCTTACCGTGGTAATTTTTTTCATATATAATTGAATAGACAATACCTTCTATGCCGAAGATTAAAGATAACTATAATCCTGCAACATGGATGTTAGAGGTCACTTCTGCATCTTCTGAAGTTGAACTGGGAATCAATTTTGCCAAAGTTTACAATAACTCTGTTCTATGCAAGTAAGTGTATTGTGTATTGTCATTTAGTGATTGTTGCACTTCTTTCCTTATCTATTGTATTTTGATTTATCAGTTCTTTATGTATCTTCTCGCGTCATGTTGACTCCAGGAACAATGAAGAGATTGTACAGAAGCTAAGCGTCCCTTCTGTGGACTCTAAGGATCTCCATTTCCATAGCCGCTTTTCACTATCTGGTTGGGAACAATATAAATGTTGTCTTTGGAAACAACAACTATCTTACTGGAGAAGCCCTTCATACAATTTGATGCGCCTCTTGTTTTCCTTTGTGTCATCCCTAATATTTGGATTGTTGTTCTGGCAACAAGGGAGGAGCATGTAAGTTGGGCCTTTTCTTTAGGAATCTAAACTTAATCCACTGTTTCAATCACTAGCCCTCCTACAACTAGTGTCAGTATGGAAATATAATATCCTGAAAAGATGCACTTATTGTAGACCTAACTATTGGGTTGAGGCAGGGTCAATATGGTTCAATAAAAGGTCACCTTGTCATTTGTCAGGATACTTGGATGTCAATAGTGGGTGTGTTAATAAACGAGAAGAAAAATTAAAAAGGCGAGACATAAATGAGCACAAGTGAAAACGAAGCTATACATGTAATGTATATTTATTTATTTTTGGGTTAATTTCGTTTACAAATTTATTGGGCTATCATTTTGGCCCTATATTGACCACCCTTTTAATTTGACCCTAACACTATACCCATTGGGTTACCCTATTTATTATCTAGGTCTACTAGATATCTGGTTTTCATATATCCAAATATACGCATGCCATATATGGAATATGGCAGACAAAATTTAGAATTATTGCAAGGTTTTCATGTTTAAATATATATGTATATACTTTTCATTATATTATTTGCTTTTATTGTTTACTCAACTTGTGTTTTGCCAAGTTTTCCTTGTTTTCCTTTGCTACAGTTTTCTCAAAACTTTATATTTTCACTCACATGTTTTTCCTCTCTTTTTTATCCCCTTACCACTTTTTCAAAACTCTCGTTATTTTATTAGTATACTCTTTCTGTTTCTCATTTTACATACTTTTTTTCCAACTTTCATTCAATCGATTATTTTGTTATGCTCTTTTTCCTTTTTGGACGGTTCCTTATGATGATCATGTTAGCCGATTACAAATCATATTGGGACTAAGTCTTTGTTGTTATTGTTGTTTCATTGCAAGGTTTTCATAATTGTACAGAAATTATCTATTTTGCCATCAGTTATGTGATTTCCTGAATTTTAAAGTATTTTTCAGTAAGAAATATTTGGTTACAATCGTTTTAAAAGTTGCTATTCAGTAATATGTGATGTGTGCTTGCTAGCTGCTACATTTTGGCTTCCATGCCAAATTATATTATGATTATGTTCTTTAAAATGTTGCTTACATATTTACATTAGCAATATGTTCATTGAAATGGCAGAAAAGATGAACAAAGTATGTTCACGATATTTGGTTCGATGTTTGCCTCTGTAACATTCTTGGGGATAAACAACTGTTCAACTGTCCTTCCTTTCATATCAACAGAAAGAAGTGTTGTTTATCGGGAAAGATTTGCTGGGATGTATTCCTCGTGGGCTTATTCTTTTGCACAGGTATAATTCTTTTTTTCATTCCTGGTTTCATTTGGGACATTCTGCAGTCACTAAAATTTGTTTAGTTCCATTATATCCGTAAAAACAATTTTAACTCACAAATAGCATTCAAAAACCAATTTTTTTTTTTATTTTGTTTCATCTTAAAGAGCAAACAAGTATCCAGGTCAAACTTAGTAGTTCTCCTTGTTTTATATCTTCACACATTTCCTTTGAACACCTTGTTTACTTCTCTTTTTTTTTTCTTTTTTTTTTTTTTTTTGGGGGGGGGGGGGGGGGGCAAGAAGGGGGGTTGCTTCCTATTGTGGACAGAATATGAAAATCTTGATTTTCTTTACTCAATTATTTTGCATATCTTTGTTGGCTAGTTTAACTTGTCCAACTGCTGATTTACAGGTCACCGTCGAGCTTCCTTATCTTCTTACAATAGCTCTAATATTCACAGTTATTTCATATCCAATGATTGGGTATTACTTAACGGCCTACAAGTTGATCTGGTACTTCTACGCCATGTCCTGTACTTTGGTGTATTTCAATTACTTAGGCATGATGCTTGCATCATTGACACCAAACTACCAGGTGGCTTCAATCATAGCATCTGCTAACTATGCGCTGATGAATTTGTTTTCTGGATTTCTGATCCCTAAACCGGTGAGTTATTTATTTCAAATATGCCCTTGGCATCAAAAAAAATCTTGGAAATGTCTTCCTTTTTTCATTTAAGAAACATATACCTTTCCCACAGATGACTTTGCTAAACAGATCTGGGAATAACTTTGTTGCATATTAAGCATATACTAAATGATTTAAGCATTAATAGTTGATCTTGTTATGAATTCTGTTAGATATATTAGTCACTTGTACTATTTTGGAGTGTTCAGAAAGGATAGCCACCTTCGGAAAAAAAAGTGCAATATAGTCGGATTTCCTAGAAACATCATCAGTGATGAAGAGAAGAATATGGCTTAACAATTATAAAGGTATTTAAAGTGTAAACTATCTTGTAAATAGTGAAACATCAGAGAAAAGGGGTCTTTATCTTTTCTTTCTGGCTAGAAGTCAAATTACTGGACTAAATAAGGAAATGGTTATCGAGTTTCTGTCTGGTCAGAGCTTCTTGGTTATATTAGAGTAGCAGATAGTTTGCTGGCTGATCAAAGGTCAATTAAGGTTAACATGGCAAGGCTGTTCACATTAGGCTCCCCTCATTCTCTCATGGTTTGGTGCCTCTGTTCAGACATTGGGATAATGTAGAAGTAATAGCTGTAACATCCTGTGGCTATGGCTGACCTGCTTAATTTTCCATTCAATTTTAATATATCAAAGCGCAACTGTAACTGAAGAGGTTTCAGTACACTCAGATCATACAGATGGGTTGCTTGTGATTAGTATTCTTTATAGAGGCAGAAAATAGGCCGTTTGGATCGTGTTCGACTCAGATCATAATTGTTTAATGAGTCATTCAGTTCACGTTCATTTTTTTTTAGGAAGCCCCACAAGGGAATTCCTAATGTATAGCTCACGTTCAGGTTGGCTCAGCCTTGTTGAGTCTATTGTTAATTACTCTGTAGCTTTTAATGATAAATCAGTCTATATTAGTCACACTGATTTCAGGTCAGTAAACTCTGTTGTGTGAAATTTTTTTGTTATGTAATCTTGCAAGTTTGGATCAGATAATCGAGCACTAGTTAGTATTGTTAGATCTTTTATAAGTTGGAAAACTAATATTGCAGTGGTATTCATTGCAGCAAATTCCCAAGTGGTGGCAGTGGTTATTTTATTTGTGTCCAACTTCTTGGACTCTACATGGTCTTCTGTCTTCCCAGTACGGTGATATACATGAAGAAATCACAGTATTTGGCAAAAGCACTACAGTCGCTTCGTTCATAGAAGACTACTTTGGGTTAAATCATAATCATCTTGGCCTCGTTGCTGCTATGTTACTTATCTTCCCTCTGACTTTTGCCTCTCTATTTGCATTTTTTATCGGGAAACTTAACTTTCAGAGGAGATGATTAGCTGTAAGGTGCGGATTTGATGGGCTCATCATTTTGTTAAGGTTGGATATCATTAATTTGGCTAATTACTTGATACTTGATTGGTTAATACTTGAGTTTTTCTATTTTTCTCTATTTACAGCAGATGCTTATATAATACAAGTCTACAAGTAGTTATTGAACATTTTCTTACACAGGAAGCAACCAAGTTATCAAAATACTGGAGCCAGTAGCTTTTGTTTGATTGTAGCAGACTATTGTGTACAATGTGTCAACTATTCAACCAGTTGCTGTCTAGACTGCGTATAATAATTAAAGAAGCAGATACAAAGTACGTAGTAGTATTTGTAAACAAGAATGTAACTAGGTGATTATATGATTATAGGATCTTGAACAAAATACCTCTCATCGGGTATTTCTCAAATACTTGTATGCAATTTTCATTAAAAAAAAGAAGAAAAAAAATATACACAATTAAAGATATTTAAATATTAGTTTACAAGAATTAAAAGTTCTAATATGGTATCATATGATCTACTTTTAACAAGAAAAAGTAATAAGCTAAAATAAATAAGTTCTAATGTTATTTGACATCTTAGCTAAATTTTTAGACCATTTCTTTAGTACTATGAATTTATCAATTTAATCCGAAATTTTGCTTATCGTATCTTGATCTTTATTTAATAAATAATAATAATAAATAATTATTAAAAAAAATGTGCATCTTTTGTAATGTTGTCCTAAAATAAAACTTTATAACACTCCCCCGTCTCAAGCATAGTTCCGTTTAACTTTTTAGCACTCATATGCATGTACTTTATTCTTTTGTATGTATTAGCATCTATACTGGCTTACTCAAACCCTCCTAAATTAATAAGGACTCAAGTTAGTTTTTTTTTTTTTTTTTTTTTGGTGTGTGATAATAGAGGAAAGTTACTTACTAGTATTCCCTCCGTCCCATAATATAATTCTTGTTTGTGTTTTTTCACGGTATTTAAGAAAAAAGAGAAGGAATGTGGATGAAGTATATTAAATTATTAATAAAGGTAAAAAGTACAATTACAGACAAAAGTTAAAATAGAAAAAGTGGAAAAAAAAAAGTACAAGGTATGTGCAAATTTCAAGGGTGATTTAAAAAATACAATGAATAAAGTTAAAAAATATGAGGATATAATGGTCTTTACCTACTTTCTAAAAATAAAAATAGGAAGAACTCTAAAATAGGAAAACAGGAAGTGTATTATGGGACGGAGGGAGTATATATAATTGTGAGTCACTCTACTAATGTAAATGCTCTAATGTACTTTCTCACCCAATTTCTTAATTTTACCAAGTAATGCCTACATTAATACATGACAAACATACTCTTACGTGTATTTCATTTTTTTACTTCCCTCAAACCCAGTTTAACATTCTCTCCTCCCAACAAACCTTTATCGACCAAGTGTAAGGGTCATTGCTGGAGTTAAAGTCATAATTTAAAAAAAAATGTTTAGAGGCCAAATGTTTACCTTTTCAAAATTCTAGTCGTTTCTCCCGCTTTTTTTTTTCAATTTTATTGCGTTTTTTTTAATCATAACTTTTGATCCCGAACTCGGATTAAGGCAAATAATATATCGTTGGAAAGCTCTAAAAGACTACTCTCCAATCCGATTGGAATCAGATCAATATCATTCCTAGATCGTAAGATAGACTAAAATACTAAACTCGGTCCAAAACTAACACAAATACACTATTTCGACTATATCGGTAGAAAATGTGAAAAATAGAGCATGTATAAAACTATAAAAGTGAAGCCTAAGTAAAAGGGTAAAACCAGCTATTGCGTCGATTAAACTTGACTAATTTACTAATGACGTTGAAGGAGCGATTTATCTTTTAGCACCAGTAATCTTACATAAAAATTGAGAGTGTAATCTAAATTCCCCATATAATATATTGAATTATAATTGTAATTTGTCATTGATAATCAAATTCCATTTCTAATTTCTGCATTATTTTTCCTTGATTGCAGGCAGAATATCATTTAGCAGCTCAACAAGATCAAGGGTCAATCAAAAGCAGGCACATTTTTCAATTTCTTTACTTCAATTATCTCAATTTCTTAGTATTTCCTTGATTTTATTTGTTGTTCAAATTTATCTGCATATTTTGTGAGTTGGGTAATGTTTTGCACGTAAATTTAGTATGTGAATTGCAATTTTTCTGTTTAATTTTTGCTTGAAATTTGAAGGATTATCCTGAATATTTATAAGCAAATGTATTCACCCCAGGAGAAATTTAAGTACTTGATTAGTTTATTGTAGTTAGAAGTAATATAATTATATACAGATTACTGATTGTCTATTTTAATACTCCGTAGCTGACCATCTGGTCGTGAGGGTTATTCTTATACTCTCTCGAGATGTAGTTGTCGCATTGTTCCAACCCCTAGTAATTAAGAATATAGCATGATTTTGCACCAAAAACCCAATATAATACATTTATACCAGCAGTTGTCATTTCTATTTACCCCCAATTACTTAATCTTAGTATTGGCATTACTGAGTACTGACATATTGAAATAGTATGAATGGCGAATAATTTTGGACGAAGGGGTTGAATATTGAATAAACTCGAGCAAAAGCAACCCTTTTTCTTTATTTGAATCATTTCTATTGATGAAAGAGTTAGGCTATACACAAACTGGTTGTATCACTATAATATACTACGTATGATTGATAGAGTTTCTCTTTGAAGATGCAGCCTTTTTAGTTTATACTTTAGGAATCTTTATGGGAAATGATGTTGATTACGTGTTGCAACACTGCGTTCAATATGAGAAAATCTAACACTTTCTTTGTCCAAGTAGTATTCAATATTTTTGTCAAATTATAGCTATTTTGAATGCTTAATGAGGGCATCATTTGAATACTATAATAGGTTTGCTGAAGTTTGAAAAAAAAAAGAGTGCTTATTTATGTAAGCAATGATGCTACCGAGAACCAAATGATGTAGGTTAGTAATAGGCTATTACTGTAATACTTTTGTGATTATTATGTAGGTTAGATAACACCCTCAAATTGTAATTCTTTGAGTTGATTTCTATTTCTCTCTCTCTCTCTCATTGTGTATTTTTCATTTGCACATACCTTTCATTGTGACTATTTGGATGTTAATATCTTGCCAATGCATAATACGACACAATTAATCTGTTAGCTCATAAAACTACAAACTGTTAATTACACTGCTGCATGCCAATTGTTTAATTATAAATTCAATGTACAAAGTACTAAATATGTCAAGACCGGGTAACTCCCCTCGGGGTATGATGGAATGGCCTTTTTATTCATCATCAGTCCGGATCCTGAATTTATTATTAATTAAGTCAGAAATTTAATTCATTCGACTTAGGAAGCTGAAATTAAGTCTCTTGTACAGCTGTACTCGTATCATATTATATTCAATAATTTCTGTTATTAAGTTGATTCGAAATCTGATACATTTAGATTGTTCTATGTCAGTCTAATGCTATGCAAATTAAGTGATGGTCATGTTGCGTGTAATTCTTAGTACATGCATCCATCATCCCATCTAGTGTCCCATATGAGTTAATTTTTTTTTGGCAGATCTGATTTTTGTTAGACACTGATACACTTGTTATGATATTTATTATATTTTCTGCAAGTGTATAAAATAATTCATACCATTTAAATGAATAGATAAATCCTTCTCCTATTTTCCATTGTCTTCTTTGCTTCTTTGATTCCATTCCAGTACTATGCTATGTCTCAATTCTTTGATGATGAAATTGAGCCCCAACATTCTGAACTGGCAGAGCTTGGTAAAAGCTCAAGATTGTCGTTCCAGAGTCACAAGTCCAGTTTCAGAAGAAATACATCTTTGGATTCTTCAAAAGATGTCCTTGATGAGGAGTTCATTCAGGAATGGGCTAAATTCGAGAGGTTACCATCCTATCAAAGATCAAGGATGTTATTGTTTGATAAATATGATGGTGGAAGCACAATTAATGCCAATGGAAAACGGATGATTGATGTCTCCATGCTTGGACCTCTAGACCGCCATCAATTCATTGAGAAGCTCATCAAGCAGATTGAACAAGATAACCTTCGGTTGTTGCAGAAACTTAGGAAAAGAATGGAAAAGTAAGGTTTATCACAACTATGCAATACTGTATCATTTGTTTTTATATGGTTGTCCTATAATTTTGCAAATTTTCTCCTGTGTAGAGTTGGCTTACGATTTCCTACTGTCAAGATAAAGTATAAAAACCTTTTTGTGGACGCAAGGTGTAAGGTTGTGGATGGCAAGCCCCTTCCTACTCTGTGGAACACTTTTAAAAGTAGTCTTTCTGTAAGTACATAAGGAATTTGGAGAATTTCATATGTAATCGTAGCTCTTTGTTGTAATTCTCATTATGGAATTTTGTCATTAATTCTTGTTCGGTGTCTAAACTATGATGTCATTTACCACTATTTATGAATGCATGAAGCTGAAATGCTGAATAGATGTTAATGTTATTATAAAACGAGACTTGTTCTTTTTTTCAGCTTAAAAATTTGTCTAATTCTCGAAAAGAAAGAACTTAGTCAGCGGCCCCTACTCTGATTTATCGACTTGCAATATTCTATTGTACAGGTCTTCTCCAAGCTATTGAGGTCTCAATTGCAAGAAGCAAAGCTTACCATTATTAAGGATGTCAGTGGCATAATCAAACCTGGGAGGTCAGTGAATAATTTATCTACAAATTGAGTATTTAACTTTGTCCTAAAAAGTGTTAGACAGAACAATTGTTTCATGTGTAAGCTTGTATATGGTCCTCCCTCGTCTAGTGCTAAGAATTGTTTGACAGAAAAAACTACTTTTATGAGAAGAAGCTTTCATGTGGCTCTTCCCTCATCTGGTTCTAATATTACTGCAGTCAAGCGTTGGTCAGTGTCATGCTGCTGCTAAAGTATATTCTTCAATATGTAACATTTAGCATGGTACTTTCAGTTTTATGCTCTCTCCTTGATAGAGTTTTGTGCTGCTTAATGCTTTTCAAAAGTCAGTCTATGACTTAGTGGTTCAAAGATTATCACATGCAGATAAGTTGGTACACTATTCATTTGCAGTATTGTGGGTGACTGGGTGGTGTTCCCAACTCTTATCACAATTCACATTAATGTAACTTCCTAATCTTCTGGAAGCATGACAAATCTGGATATGGCGTCAATAGATGTTCGCTTAATATCCTCAGACTGAAGTGTTTGAGACAACATTTACACTACCATACTCCTACACTGCTAGTGTTCTTCTAATCCAAGCTGATAGAATACTGATGTTATATCTTATAATGAATGAGTTATTCTTCTTTAGATATGCTTAAAATGGCATATCATTTATCCAATGTGGCCAAGTTATATAAAAGCAAATTAAAGAGCTGAACAGGGAGTGGGGAAGACACACAGAGTGAATTCCTTAATTCAAGCTTTCAAAAAGACCTCTTATATGGGGTCTGCTGTATGGCCTAATAGCCCAATAAAGGAACTGGATGCTTAGGTTTGTTTCTATTATGACTTGTAACTTTCAAATTTGTGAATTTTAAGCTTTCTAGATTTTCTACTCATTAGGATTTAGGATAGCATCAGTTCTCTGTAAGGAGTAGAAAGCTATTACATCTAAAATTGTGCAGATTGAAGTTTGGAGAGCTTAATCTAATTGACAATGAACAGCCTCCTATCTCTATGTTCAGAGTTACTAGAGGCTGCGAGCTTTGAGATGCTGTGGTGATTAAAATGCTCTCAGATATTTTACATATGAGTCTGTGCTTTACGTAATGTGTACTCTAATTTATTTGAGTATTTTCTGTTTTTCTTAGGGATTTAAGGTAGGCAAGTTGGAAGGTTTGCTGGCTTATATAAGCAGAAGTTTTTTGAGTAAGGGAGATATTGAATACAATGGGCACAGATTTGAAGAATTTATTACTCAAAAAACTTCTGCTTATATAAGCCAGCATGACCTGCATATTCCTGAAATGACTGTGAGAGAGACAGTTGATTTTTCAGCTCGTTGTCAAGGTGTGGGAAGCCGTGCAGGTAAGTTTATTCAGTTCCTGATTACTGGTTTTTTTTTATGACCATTCATCACGTCCAAGTAATAATGGAAGTTTGTTGCTCTTAAGACTTGTTAATTGAGGTCTGTAAACGGGAGAAGCAGGAAGGAATCATTCCAGATGCTGATATAGATGCATACATGAAGGTATTCCAGCCATGATTTTGTCTTTGCAGCTCTATGTATCATCATTTTATGCTATATTGCTAACTTGATCCCTTGCTTCCTTCAATACTGATTTGATTCAAATAAATGACAAATTTTCTATTGTACTAGTTGTACCTAAATTAGAATTTGACAGCTCTCACTATGCTTTCTACTCAGGCAAATAGCAAATGTGATTGCATCATATGTTGAAAGGTTTGTCTGTGGTAAAAGATAAGAAGGTGCTTATCCTGTCAAAGCTCCCTTTGATATGTAATTTATGATAAATAGATCTGTTTGGCATATTGCTTTGCACTTTAAATTTAATATAAACCAATGCCAGCAAAGGTAAAGCTCTTGATTCTAGCCCTTCATGTGATTATTGTAAGGTTTATTTTGGTTGCTGAGATGTTATTGGTGATTTATAGTTGCATATTTTCATAGCCCTCTCACTATATTTGTTGAAGAAAAGATAACTCTCACATTCCTCAACAATTTAATGAGTTCCTTGTCCCTTGATCATGAGTGCATATTCTGAAATAGAAACTCCTCAAGAGATCATCTGAAACTCTGTATATTCTTATTTCTGGAATCTCTCCTCTTTACGAGGACTATATGAGAGTTGATGAGGCATTTGCTTATACCTGATTGATTTATGCTTCTTCAAATAATTTTCAAATTACATCTGATGTGTATGCTTTGCTTTAATCATTTATTTAAATACTTAATTTAAAGAGATGTAGCAAGAAGGGATGAAAAGGACTTCCAGTCCTCTCTATTAATTTTTATGTCTTAAGTACCATGGTGTTTAGTAAATGCGTGCATTTAATCTAATGATTTAACAGGCAATAGCTGTTGAAGGGTTGAAGAATTCCTTGCAGACAGACTACATACTTAAAGTAAGTCTTTTAAAAAAATCTTCTTCATATTTGATTTTTCTAGTCAACTTGTGGTTTATAGAAGTTTATTGTCAATCACATGCTCAAATACTTGCCATCTGTTCTCTGTCAGATTCTTGGACTTGATATATGTGCTGACACTATGGTTGGAGATGTTATGAGGAGAGGTATCTCAGGTGGTCAAAAGAAAAGATTGACTACAGGTGCTTCAGTGAATTGTGCATAAAACAACCATTCTTTAACTTGAATTAGAACATACTCCCATCAGTCTGAAGAATTGTTGTTGTAATGGAATTTTGTAGGTGACATGATTGTTGGGCCAACCAAGGCATTATTTATGGATGAGATAACGAATGGCTTGGACAGCTCTACTGCATTTCAGATTGTCTCGTGTATTCAACAGTTGGTTCACGTAACAGATGCATCTGCACTGATTGCCCTTCTTCAGCCAGCACCAGAAACCTTTGATCTTTTCGATGATGTAATTTTAATGGCAGAAGGAAAGATTGTGTATCATGGGCCTCGTGATTGTGTTCTGGAATTCTTTGAGACCTGTGGTTTTAGGTGTCCCAAGAGGAAGGGAATAGCTGACTTTCTTCAGGAGGTAACAGTTTTTCTGGTATTTGGTGATACAAGCTTAATATTATGAAGTGACTGCATTTTTCTCTAACTTCCTTTTGCTAAATGTAAAATCCTACACTTGATACCCTTTTTTCTACAGGTTATTTCACAAAAAGACCAACCACAGTACTGGTTTCGCAAAGAACCTTATGGCTATATCTCTGTAAATATGTTCTGTGAGAAATATAGGGCATCTCGTGTTGGAAAGACTTTATATGAAGAGGCTTCACAGCCACCTGTGAAGACACAGGTTGACGATTACACCATCTCCTTTTACAAGTTTTCTCTGCCAAAGGGAGAACTCTTCAAAGCTTGCTTTTCAAGGGAATTCCTGCTTATGAAGAGAAACTCTTTCATTTATATTTTCAAAATTATTCAGGTTGTTTTACACTTCACAGTGTGCTTACAACTTCTATTTCTTCTTTGGGTTATTGTTTTGACAAATAAAGTTCAAAAGTTGCTTGTTGTTCATGGTTTTGCTGGGGCACACCTGTATATGTTTGTTGGAATGCATGTGCTGTTTTAAAATGTAATTATTTTTTCTGGGTTAGTAATATAAACAGCAACTATGAAACCATGAGATTATGGGTTTAAACTTCAAATATCTCCTCTCCCCCCTCCTCCCCCCCCCCCCCCCCCTCCCCCTCCTTAAAAGTCAATTTCAATGTTCAGTTATATGTAGTGTGTATATATGTTAGAGCTACATTGAATTGCAACCTAATTTTTGTTTCTTGTGTTTTTCCTGATATTTCCACTTGCAGTTGGTCATTATAGCTCTGATAACAATGACTGTATTCTTACGTATACGGATGCATGTTGACATTCTTCATGCAAATTATTATCTGGGCTCTCTATTCTATGGTCTTATCATGCTTCTTCTTGATGGATTTCCGGAACTGTCAATGACTATCATAAGACTTCCTGTTTTCTTTAAACAGAGAGATCTGTATTTCTACCCCGCTTGGGCCTATGCAATTCCGGCCACTATCTTGAAGATCCCTTTGTCCATTTTGCTTGCTGTTATCTGGACCTCACTTACTTACTGTACCATTGGATATGCTCCAGAAGTTGGAAGGTAGGTTTTGAGGAGTTTTATGCTGTGACAGTGTACTCTTGGTTGTGACTGTCATTGTTTAGTTGCTGTAACACTCATCAATCTTAGTACTTTTGTATTCTAATTAACCAGATATTGGAATAAATTTTGAGAGTTTTCTGCATATTTCAGGTTTTTCTGCCAAGCACTTCTATTTTCTGGTGTGCACTTAGCATCAATATCCATGTTCAGGCTCTTGGCTTCTCTGTTTCGTACCACAGTTGCTTCCACTTTTGCTTCCGTTATTTTCATACTATTTGTTTTCATATTCAGTGGATTCATAATCCCACAATGTAAGAATACTTGTGAAGTTTTACCTAATAAAATTCGCTGATCATCTGAATACTATTACTTACCTGTGTTTTTACTTACAGCTTCAATGCCAGTATGGTTAAGATGGGGATTTTGGGCTGTGCCACTTACTTATGGAGAGATTGGTCTTGCAACTAATGAATTTCTTTCTCCAAGGTGGCAGAAGGTAAGCAGCTAGAGGCATGACAATTATGATGCAAGTTTATGTGCAAAAATTTGACATGCTAGAATGAACAATAGGATTGTATGATTGATCCTTTGCTTTGATTATTTATCTCAAAGATATATGAAGAACCTGCTAGAAGACCATCTTGGTCATTCTTGATTGTTGTATTAATTTGTTGATTTTTAACTATAACAGCTAGTTGGATAATCCACTGGAGAACTAGACATCAGTGCTCTGCTCATGTCCTCTTGGATAATGACATTCTAGCTAGCAGTTTCATCTTTTCTTATTTGAAAGAGAGAGGGAAAATGGATCCCTCCCTCTCATTCCCTTCCTTCCCCCCAATCCTTTTCCCAAAAAAAAAGAATATGTCCTCCTTCCTTTCTCATCTCTTCTTTTCTTTCCATTTCCTTCTATCCAAACAAAGTGTTAATGCTTTTCTGAAAACTTCAATGTGTTGCTGGTGTTTAATTCATTGAAAGTACTTGGTGCATTTGCTCCTCATCTATTAGCTGATTCTTATTCTTATTTGTAGATGCTTGCTTCGAACACAACGATAGGTCATGAAGTACTTCAATCTCGTGGACTACTGTTTGACAGTTACTTTGTCTGGGTTTCGATTGGTGCTTTGTTTGGGTTTTGCATACTTTCCACGGTGGGATTTACTTTGGCATTAACTTACTTGAAGGGTGGGATTGTCTTTTTTTTTTCTCTTTTTTTTTTTTCTCTAGAAACAGGTCATAGTAACATTACTGATTTAAATTTTTCTTGATTATATTTGTAGCTCCGAGAGCATCTATGGCTTTCATCTCTAGAGAAAAGCTTTCTCAATTACAAGGATCAGGAGATCCATATCAAGTGGACAACGAGCTAAAAAGTTGTGGAAAAAAAAGCTGTGTAGAATCTAATAAAGGTTTAAAAAATTCATCTGAATTTCCTATTAATTAGCATCGCTCATGCGGACATTTTCTTTATAACATTTATTGCTATCGGCACAATTTTGTCGTCCAGCATTCTCAAACGTCTGGTAATTATGGCAGGTTATATGATCTTACCATTCCAACCCCTTACAGTAACATTTCACAATGTGCAGTATTTCATTGATACCCCAACGGTAATCTCAAAACCAAATTTTATAAGCTTGAGGTCCTTTTCTGCAATACGGTGTTCATAAGCACCCTGGACATTTACTGTGTTATCATAATTTATAATTATTTTGCTTGTCTTAGGAAATGAGAGAACGGGGCTTTACTGAAAAGAAACTGCAGCTTCTGCATGATATCACTGGTTCTTTTAAGCCAGGTGTTCTTACCGCGCTGATGGGTGTCAGTGGAGCTGGAAAGACGACTCTTCTTGATGTTCTTGCAGGAAGGAAAACTAGTGGCACCATCAAAGGGGAAATTCGTATTGGAGGATATCCAAAGGTGCAGGAAACATTTGCACGAGTATCAGGCTATTGTGAACAAGCAGATATACACACTCCAAATATTACCGTTGAGGAATCCACTTAACTTTTCTGCCTGGCTTCGGCTTCCTGATAATGTTGATTCAAATACCAAAACTGTATGACATTTATTCACATGGAAAGAATTGCAAGTCTAGTTCCGACTTATATTGAAGTTTACATTGCAGAATTA